ATATTCCTTAAATATAAGTTTTACAATCGAAACACTGTCGCGTAATATCGATATTGAGTTTAACATACTTACATTATACTTACTGACTAAGCTTAAAATTATACTAATTGTTATTGTATTACGCCATTGCTTAATTGTTTTAGTATTTTACCTGTTGGCATTTACATACGATTGTTTACTTAACCTAGTTAATAGTTCTAATTGTAATATTTCTTATATATTATGCATGATACAATAAAAGTTATCTAAAAAAATGAATAAAATTGTGAAAAAATTTTTTAATTATTCTTGTCCTCAACGTAAGTATTTCGTTAAAATTATAGAGAAGAAATTAATCTTATTTTGTATACCTATTTTTTTTTTTTAAAGAATACACCAAAAATAAAAATTGATTTGTTGCGGTTTTGGACGAAATTAAATACGACTATTAGTACGAGTATTATAACTATAAGTGCAATACAAAAAGGCTATGCAACCATGCAGTGTTATAAACGGAAACGAATGTAACAGGGTCTAATGAAAAAACAGTATTCTTTGGCAGTTACATAAACTGGGTTTCAGCATACCAATTAATATACGAGTTACTGCTCATACATGCCACTATATATCATCTTCTACTGCTTCTCGATGTCATAACAGCTCAATCAAAAAATATTCTTGAACGTGTATAATAATTTACAAAAGAATTATATATATTCTGAATCCATATTTTGTTCATTTTTTCAATTGAACGAGTAGTGTGGTAGGCGTTTGGTTATGAAATTCGTGAACCTCCCGTAACAGGGTCCCATGTATAGGATGTTACTTTTTCCAAGGAGAATTACCTCGACAGCCTTTTACGTTGCCATTGTAGCAACATGGATACTATAATAATTTAAAATATAATATTTTYGCCGTAAATACTCGTGTTGGCTTGTAGTTATGATTTTCGTGAGCATCATGTAATAGGATCTCATGTGTTAGAACGTTAAATTTACCATGTATACTATAGACGACCGTATATTGTAGATATCATGATACATTT